TCATCAGAAGTTTTGGCATGGTTTCCTATGTTCCCTGTCACATGGTCTCCCTCAAGAGGTCCCGGAGAGGTTTTGTGAGTTATTCACAGCGTCTTAATTTGCTACGGCGGACTGCTTTTCTTACTTGTCAATATTTATTTCATCTGCATGCTAATGTGCTGTAACATACAATGGCGGCCCATCCTGCAGGAGTGGGATATATAATATAAAGTAATATCTCCTCTTTGACATCCGGCTTCTGCAATTCTGACCTTATCCACCTCGCCGCAGCGCCGCGGGCCCTGGAGCGCTGTCTGATGTCCGCTCACGCGCACACACCGCTGCACTTTGCGCACGTGCACACGTACTGATTTGCGCTGGAATGGGAGTCACTTGGCGCGAGCTTACCGCCGCCCACATACCAACCAATAAGGTCATTTTGTGGATGAGGAAAACAAATACTCCCATTTCCAATTCGCTCCACAACCCTGCGTGTTTCCCCCAACCAAGCAGTACATCTACCCTTATTTATTTATTTATCCACCTTGTTGTGGGTTCCACACATCCCTTGACTTTCATTCCCATTTATATACTACTGTATATAGAAATTGAAAACAGCATTTTTTACATAATTGCGGTCCTCATTCTGCACAATCGTTTACACATTTGGCTTCCGTTTGACTACAAAGGAGCTTGTTTGTTTTGGCTACATAATTGAACATCATTAATGTAGCAAGCGCTGCCTCACAGGCGAGAAATGGTTTGATCTTTGTTTTAAAGTGTGTCATTTATTTAACCCTATTAGTAGTGGATTCTTCTTTGGGCTGTGTGCGAGGGAGCACTTTAAAAGGTCACTGATGAGGCGCGTTCTCTGGAGATGCGGCCCCACAAACACGTTGAGGATGCTGCGTGAGCGAGGAGGAGATGGAGAATGCGAGAAAAACGTTCACTGCGTTGCATCCCGTCCTTTTCTGTCTGCGGGCGTGCCAGGGCCGGTCGCTGGGCGCCGTCCAGCTTTTGCAAAGATCAAATGCACAAGTCTGGAAAAAAAAAAAAGTATGTAGGTCAGAGGTGTCGGAAGTTCTGCGAGTTAACTCTCCATTCTGTTTGAAGACATGACCGTGTTGTTGCCCGTGAGAAGAGAGCGTGTGCGAGGAATCGAAGCGGGCCGGGGTGAAGCTCACGGGGTCACGGGGTCACGCGGTGGGTCCGAGGTGCAGGAGGCCGCTCGGGGAGTGACTGCACAGTACACCTGGTGCGGCAGCTTCAGACCCTCCGCGGACAACAGGGGAAAGGCTCCCTCCTCAGACGCAACCCAAGCTGACCAAGGGAATCGCGTGCGACGGCGGGAGCAAACAGAGCCATGTTGACCGTGTTAATGTGTGGCCGCGCTATCATGCAGAGGTGTCGCTGCGTATTCCTTTGGGCTTGCGTGTGTTCGTGTAGGAGAGGCTCTGCTGGGGCCGCAGGAGGAAAATAGGTGGAACAAAGAAAGTCAGAGGGGAAACAAGATAGAGGAGACTGGTGCTTTAGTGCACGTCCGTCTGCATTACCAAGTCATCGCGGTGGATGGAACCCATTTGTAAATCTTAGCTGGCTGCCAAAATGCTGAAACGTTGCTGTTAAAGATGCTTATTAAAAATGCAAAACAACCATCAAGATCACATTAATCAACACCTTGATCTGATGAGTGGTACAGATGCGAGACCAGGATTCAAGTTGATTCAACTATACACATAGAATAATAGAATATTAATACAGAAAATATCAGCTTCTCTCATGAGGACATGCAGGTGACAAAAATATCGAGGAGTCAGTGAGTGATGTAAAATCGCTGTTTTCTGACTGCTGTCTGGTGGCTTCGAGGAGAACGAATTGATCGAATGTTTATAACTTCAAGGAATCATAACCGTTTTCCTTATCCCTGTTTTTAATATATTATACTTCAGCACTCCATAAAATGGGCAAATATTAGCGTTTCCACCTGGGCGTCTTGTTTCCATCTGTGCCCATCGAGGCTGAATTAGATAAATAACAGGGACGGCCGCAGAGGCATTCGTCTATTCGCGAATAAATGCTGACCGGAACCTTTCCCACCAAGTGGGCCGTTCAGTGAAAGGACAGACTGCCGGAGGTCATTGACACGAGACGCAAATCGGTCAGCCCGTCTTAGTCAAGCCCGTCCTTCCTTTGGGAGCTGGTCCGTTATGAGGGAAACATTCATCTCCCAACTCGTGCAGCTTTTCGCTGTCAGGAATGTTGTTTCTGGCAACATTTGAACGTCTCCATTCAGTCCGATAGACCTCTCGTCTAGACTTTCAAAGATTTGGTTTCTGGTTATTTTTGATTCTAAGAGCCGAACTGCGACAACGGGAGACCCACCTTTTTCACGAGTTGTGTTTTCCCCTCTTTTTCAAAGCGGAAAACAAACAGGGAATCAATTTTCCTTTCTCCTCTTTACTTTCTTTTTACACGTCTAAAAGTTGCTCTGACAGCTTCAAGTCCATTTGTGTTTTTGTTTTTTTGTGCGAGGCGGATCGTTTCAAACCGAATCTGCCCCGGTGTCAAACCCTTCTTTCAGTAATAGCCTCTTCAAGATGTCTGCGGCAACAATTCAAACATTCTCATTCCCACTGGTGTGCGTTAACTTGTTACGCGCTAACGGGAAAGGGAGGAAACGACACAAAGCAGCGCCGGCCAGGACAGCAGCCAGTGCCGCGTCCCATTCCTGCCAGACCCCCGAGGAATGTCCAGCCCTGGACATTTGTCCAATCCACGCTAGCTCACGCTTTCTCCTGCAGCTCCTTCGCCGGATAATCTCTCCTGACACCTCACACAGCCCGACAGGGAATCACTCCTCCCTGAAAACAATCCAGGCCCCCTCCCTCTCCTCCTGTCTGTCTTCCTTATTTTTCTCTTTACCCTCTCCCTGCCTATCTACCCATCTATCCCTTCCCCATTACTTCTCTCTGTGGCCTACTCTTTCTCTCGCGTCTCCATCCGTCTTTGTCAAACCATATCCCGCTTCCCTTCTGTCTCGCTCAATCCCCCCCCACACCCGTCTATTCTCCCCCGTCCACACTTGCTACGCCTCTGTTGATGAGAATCTGCAAAAACACGATTGAGGCATAGCCTGCGCTTCCTTGAGGACTCATCAGCATTCACGAACGGCATTTTACCCCACTGGTTGTTGCAAAAGTTGGAGGGTCTTTATCTCTGAGCGCACCTTTTACAGATGGAGAGAAGCTCCACGGGATCCCTTCAGCAGCATAAGCTCCGATATCTCTCCCTCGACACCCATACACTTCAGTTTTTGGAGAGAAAAGAGTGATGTGGGACTTGCAGATGAAAAAAAAAATATATTTTTATGCCTGCCGAAAATTCTTGATTGCAAGTGAACAAGAAGACACATTGCCAGTCATGTTGTTCGCCCTGCTGTTCTCACAGAGCGAAGGAGATCCTGTACCGATCATCTTCCCTTAATTGGCAAATTTGGGATACAAGAATTCCTGCGAGACGAGTCACTCAAAAAATGCCATTTATTATTTAAATGTATTCAACAATTCCAAAAGATAAGATAGACAAACATGTCATAGATTTCATTTACAAGCGTTTTCTTCTCGTCGTCGTATCGATAACGGCTGACCCGCCCTGCAGAGCGCAATCTCATTGGCTGCCCTGCAAAATATCTGTCATTGGCTGTAGCACAGGAAAAGAAGGAGGGCGCGGCACATGCTAGAAGGCAGCCGCTCGCTGGTGTGCAGCGACACATACGTACCCACACGTGCACACGCACACAACGCTTGGTTGACCAAGTCACTCACCCGATCAGGTTCATTCTCAAGCAAGCTGTCGGGCCGCCATGTTAAGTAAATATCACCGTGATGCCTGCGTGTGTCAGTGAGTATGCGGCTAATGAAAGGATGAAGCTCAGGAGACCCTGAAACAGAAGGATCGCCCCCTCGCTGTTACTGTGCTCGAACGCCCCTTCCACTCAGTCGCTCTCTCTCTCTCTCCTTCTCCCCCCCCGCTCCTCCCTCATTCAGGAGCCACTTTGTTTAGTTTGGATTTGTTTTTTTTGTTCAGCGACGAGAAGGGTCGGAGGTCAGCGCGGCGGAGAGAGAGAGTGAACTCTTCGACTGCGCGGCCTCTCAATACGAAGACGTTGCTTCAGCAAATAGTCGGTAGCGCAGCCACACAAAACCAGAACATTAAGGACACAATTTGAACTCTACTTTTAATCTGAACCAGCAGCGGGACATCACTGTGTGCGCGCACGTGCGTTTGTGTGTGTGTGTGTGTGTGTGTGTGTGTTGAGGTGGTTAGTAGTAAGGATGTTATGAGATGTTTCACCGATACATTGGAAGGTACAGTGCAGAAAGTGTTGTTATTCTCCACATGAACATGTTACATTGTTACCTTGCTGTACACAGTGATGAGGAACATCACCCACCGCCATAAAACACTGGCGGCCTTACACATGTACTTTCCTGCTGTTAGATGTCTGAGCCGCATCACAAATAACAAACAGGATATCTTCACACGGGACAAATATATTCTATTTTTTTTTCTCCTTTTGTAGACTATTATGCATGTCTACAAAATAAAAACACTCTAAGGAAAATTGCACGGAACAACACTACGAGCTTGAGTCAATCGAGTCCACAGACGACTGTTTCCACCGCGGAGAGAAGGGGTGAGGTCATCTGCTTTGTGCAGGTTTTTACATTTTTGTTGATACATCTGTGCAATGGAGCAGGTCTGAAAGGGGGAGAGACGCCGCGAGCGAGGAGCGCGGCGAACGCGTCGGCTCTCCTCCCGCCCCGGTTCCCCCCAACTCAGCGTGTCCTCGGGTGCGCCGCATCCAGACTCGGCTACAGAGCCCGGACGTCTTGGCCGATGGATTACGAAGCAGAGGTGTCCACGATGATGCAGAGAATTAGGAAAACTAGAAGGCATTCCAGCTTTTAAAACACACTCAACCCCCCAGAACCCTCCCCCACCCCCACCCTCCCCCCCTCCCGTCCCCAAACCCAACTCTTTCCATTCGCTCTCTTCCCGGCCCGACTGTCCGCTCTCAGTCGGCGTAGAGGATGAAGCCGGAGAAGGTGCTGTACTTGTTGTTGTTTCCCCCGTGCGCTTTGCCTCCGTCCAGCTTGATGTAAATCTCGTCGCCCGCGTCCAGATGGAGGATGACGCTGTTGGAGGCGTAATCGTAGTTCTGGTCCGCGTCCTGGGCGATGGCGCTGGCGCGAACCTGGACGGACATGGAGGAGAAAGGGGAAGGCCCGTTAGCGCCGGTCGGGACGGAGAGACGGACGGCGTATAGTCGGCGTATAGTCTTCCCTGTCAGCAGAACAGGGTGCATGCTGCAGGGAAATTAGAAGTGGCAGCGAACGGCTCTTATTGATTTATTTTTTTTTGTTCCAGGACCTGCAGGCGTTCATGAGAAGAAGGATTTATTGGTGATAAATAAAAGCTTGATTATCTGTTAATAATGCTAATTAGATATTATGATCTTTTACTGGCAAACAAATGAGGCCACATTTGTAACTCAAATAACCTGAAAGTTGTCAGTGGTTTGAAGGAGTCTCTGCGCTACGGCAGAGTTCCGATCGCACGTATCATCTACCACATAATAATAACAACAACACATTTCTTAAAAAACAAAACGTCAAAAAGTTTTTTCATTTTGAAGTTTTCTGACACTTTCTTTTTCATTTTTGTATCAAACCTACAGGTCCAACCACAGGGTCAGTCAAACATTTGGCCTTTCTGTCAAGCAGATTTATGGGTTCCATCAAGCCGGCAGTCTTCCACAGAGGACCTAACGTTCTACTTTGGAACAAAAGGTCCACAGGAAGAGAAAGTCTTTGAGAGCTTCTGCTTGTGGTGGAAATGATGAGAAATGAATAAAGAAACGCGTCGGACGCACACTAAAGATAAATAGAAATATTCCAAAATGTATTGCGAGGAGCAACAACAATTCAGAATTAGGTCGCAGAGAATTATTCATCTCTGTTTTGGATTTTTGTGTGTGAGCGTGTGTGTAGGTCTGTGTGTGTGTGTGTGTGTTTGATTCTGCCGCACTGGCTTGTAGGGAATTTTGGAGCAGTTTCTAAATAACCTGTCCTGGCTAATTAAGATCTCCACCACAAACATGTTCTGTCTCCCTGGAGAGGAAAGTGTAGCCGCAATGCCAAATGGGCGGTGAAACGATAGTGTGTGTGTGTGTGTGTGTGTGTGTGTTTGTGTGCTTGTTCGGTTATGTGTGACTAATTGCACATATTATGATCAGGAACAAGTACTACAAAATTCTGTATCTCAAGTCACAATTTGTAACTATTTGTAACCTTTTTGGGGGCAGAATACAATATTCATACAATTTAAAAAGGGGAAAAACAGCACTGCTGAATGTCACAGACTGGATATGGATTAGTAGACAGTCGTGAAAAGTTAAACCTTTATTTTCAGACGGACACAAAGGAAACTGAGAATAGTTAATATCAGCAAATAAAGGAGATATCATCTCTTTTTATTCCAGGCGTTCTTCTCACTTGTCAGAACATCACTCAATATGCCACTCAAGTCTGGTAAAGTCACTCCCACCACACTGATCACTATCACTATTCCTTTTAGGCAATTTAGCAGATTTTGCCGAGCCACCAAAAGGCTTTGTGCAACTTTTTGTTTTTAGACAAGTAGAACTATTCCAATTGACTAGTTAATTCAATCAGAAAACCGGCTCCTCCAGTCCATGTCAACGTGTCCCCTCGGAAAGACACTTTATGCCAAACTGTGTGTGTGAGAACGGGTTCACTCCTGGTGGGGAGGTGGCACCTGGTGCGTGAGCCCCTGTCACCAGTGTAAGAACGGATGCGAATGACATTTTGTGTCAAAGCGCTCACGTTAACCTAAAAGGAGCAGAGCAACCGACGCTCGCCAAACGCATCTCAGTGCCACTAAAAAATGACTAACGAGGTCAACAGAATCGGGCCTAGCTTAGATAGAATCAGTAAGAAAAGATCATTATTTTCTCTTGAGATGAAACAAAGAAAGCCCCGCACATCCTTTAAAGTATCCATCGGTTAAATGAGCCAATTAGTCACTTGGTCTGGCCGCAGCGGTTTAACCCGAATCAATATTTTACATGCATTTGAAGTATTTTCCTGTGGCTAATTATCGGGTCTCCGAGGTGCATTCCAGCCCTTTCCTCGGCTGCGTTTTTGACTACATAGCTTTAAATCTCTGCTCTCGGAACAGGTGTCGACAAGCCGGCCCAACGGGCGGCAGAGAGGATGCCTGATAATTAGTTGCCCTATTTAAGGAGCACACGCGATAGGCGTATTGACAAATGTTATGAGAGGCCAGCTACTGACAGAGAGCTACTGCACAGAAAGCGTCACTGTTGCCAAACCCAACAGGGAACCCGGAGCAGCTTCACCTGACATAAAGATATCAGGCAAAAAAAAAATGAAGTAATTATTCCACTTGACCGACCGAAAGTTTGACCTAAACTGTCAATTAGCGTCTGTAGATTTCTGTGTTCTCTGTTGTTTCTGCTGCAGCATGTCGTTGACCACGGCAGATATGCTGCTGCAGAAACAGCACCGATTCTAAAGAGACGGATGTCAGAGTCTCAAATGTTAAATGCTGTTCTCCCGAGCAGCACAATGACAAAGTGGCACGAGCGGCTGGAGTGAGCCTTTCCTGCACCGCTGCTCTGGAAAGCGTTCAAGTGGTTAAGTGCCATATCAGTGACTCCCCCACGCTGAAGACCAGGCTGAGTGCTGCAGCATGTTGATGACATCCTATCGCAGACAACATCTCCTCATCTCGGGTCGGCCCCCATCCTCCCGTGCTGTATATTTACATCTTCAACGCTGAGGAAAAGCTACGATATCGGTCGACATTAAGTACACGGACAGCGCGGCCGGCTAAACATTTCACCCCTAATAGAAATATACCATTTGAATTACGCACCAGATCAGTATCAAGCTTTTAGTTGTAGGACTAATAGCTGATAGACTTCTTGTGACGCATCTCCTGGCGTTGAGCTGAGAAGCGGTAGACTCTCCTTCAGCCCTCAATGTGTTTGTTTGCTGGTGATTTACGAGAAAAAAGAACTTCTCTTGTTTTTCAAGGTAAAATGAACAGTGACACCTCCTTACTGACCCTTATGTGTTGAAGGGAACGTGCGCGCATCTAATGTCCATGCAGCAACACTTCATGAAAATCCGCAGGACTTTACTTTTAGTTGAAATGTTTAAATGAGTTTCGGAGTGCGTGTCAAACAACACACCTTCGACAGTGAAAGTCGCGTCGGTGTGAATGTGAAACGTCCTTCAAGGCTGATTGGAATGATTTCATTCTGAGGTTTTAAGATGAAGGAGTTATATATGGAACATAGTTATTGTTTATTCTGTTGATTAAATCGAGCGCAGCTCATATCAACTTGCAAACAAAGCCCCCTGTTGGGGTTCTGAGATGCCGGCGTCCAGAGCATATAAATATAATGTGATGTTCCCCGAGCGCGCAAAGTCAACAGCATCCTATTAGAAGGTTAGCGCCTCGGGTTGGCGGGAGAGTGGGTGATGACGGCTCGGGAGGATTCGTCAGTTGGGATTTTTAATGAGACTTTTTCAAATGATTTTTGCATTCCAGGTGTTTGCACATGGACCTGCGACCTCTGGCAATGTCACAGATGTGTAATACCTTTAAATTATTCTCTTCATTTGCTCTTTATGGAATTCAAGCAGTCTTCCAGTGCATGATTTATTTATTTCTTTTCTCTTCGTGGGGAGGAGAACCGGGGAAATATAAATATAACATTTTCCTTTAGCAGAGACAGAATGAGCAAAGCCCTGATGAAAGTAAACTTCCCTGAAATCCTTCCAGTACTTGCACAGTTATATTTTTGTCTTGTGTTGTTTCTTTGCTCTAATGGTTTTTAATCCCCTTCTGGGACTATACTGTCTAGGCCTTCTTACTTTGCTTTCAATGATCAGCACGCATGAATTAAGCCTCACTATTTCTGAAATAATGATGACGGAGCTCACATTGGAGCTAATTTTCTTTCTCCTTTTTATATATTTCACATGAGGTTCCATGCACAGGCGATGGCTGATGTATAGCCAGAGACGAGCACAACGAGCAGCCGACTGGCAGCGCGTGACCTTGACGCTGAATATGTAGAGGATCTTTGACAAGACAAACAAGGCTGCAGGCGTCGGCCCCGGCCGTGGTAAATGAGGTGTCGGGCGATGTTGTCTTCCTTCTGGCTGCTCGCGCGGGTTTTTATCCGTCACATCGTCGACGTGATGGCTTTGATTGAATATTATTCTGAGCGGAGACACGGAAAAATGCAAAAGGCTCAACGGGCAATGCGCGAAGAGAAAAAGTGAAGTGCGGATTCTCTCCACAGTGTGCACTGTGTACAGTAGCTGTGAATATCTGTGTTTTATGGAACCTTCCGGGACGGTAACGCGTGGTATGTGTTTAAAAACCCGCCTCGGGTAAAAAGGCATTTTTACATCCACCCCCCCCCCCCCCCCCAGCAGCTGTATTGTGCGTCTGTTCTAAAACCTTATGGGCTTGCGGTTTAGGAAAAACGGGACAATTTGAAGATGTGTCTGTTGTGTCTGGTGCAAGAGGGATCCATTAACGTCCCACCGGGACATCTTACAAGAGGCTTTGTCACCGTGACAAGGACGTTTCTCGCCCACGGGGATTTGTTGACTTGATGTTGAGCCTCCATTTTGGATCAACGGGTCTATCGGTCCTCCCTAAATCAAAGTGTACTGCTGTCTAATTGTGTTTGAACATCCCAGCCGTGAACTGCATGCCTAATGGCAGCTTAGATAGTTATTGAGCCTCACATATACGGACACACACGTTGCACGTTGATGGGTGAGACACATGCTCACCCATCAACGTGCATCTCTGCACGCACGGGAATTTTACAAGACTAACAAGAAGGGGTAAGTGGTTGCAAGAGAATTTAGTCAGAAAGCAACAGTTTTTCTATGTCTCGCCGGTTTATTTGTCGCAGGAACTTAAGTGAAAACATGATAAAAGGAAGAAAACGGCGAGAGGAGATCTGCCATCTGTAAGACGACAGTAGCAAAAGGCTCCTTGAATTCATTTCTCCGGCTGGTCTTTTTGTACCTGCTTAGCCTCCTTTGTAACAGCCTGACCGGGCCGCACGGCCCTCTCGCTGTTTATTAAATTTGTTGACACCAATGCTGAATATGAATC